GCTTTCTGAAATTCGGGTTATCGTTATTCAGCATGCCCAACTAAAGGTTACGTTTGGTTTCCTCGGTGTTATCGGAATGAGCTAAACATTACCCTTTTTGTAGTAATGGAAAGCTAAGAAGGGTGTGGGTTTGACTGTTAGGATTACTGCAGGGGGAAAAAAAAACAACCCAATTGCAATCAGTCTACCTTCCATAGAAGACCTGCATATTGCACAGGTCGGAAGGACAGCTGAGAAACTAACTACAGACCTCTCACATCCTGGACTTAAAACTGCTTCAACTCCTCCCTTTGGGACGCAGCTATATGAGGCAGGGATGAAATCCAGCAGGTTCTGACAGGTTCTGGAGAACCGGTAGCGGAAATTTTGAGCTGTTCGGAGAACCGGTAGCGGAAATTTTGAGCAGTTCGGAGAACCGTCAAATACCACCTCTGGCTGGCTCCAGAGTGGGGTGGGAATGGGGATTTTGCAGTATCCTTCCCCCAGGAGTGGGGAGGGAATGGGGATTTTGCAGTATCCGTCCCCCAGCAGTGGGGAGGGAATGGGGATTTTGCAGTATCCTTCCCCCAGCAGTGGGGAGGGAATGGGGATTTTGCAGTATCCTTCCCCTGCCACGCCCACCAAGCCACACAACGCCCACCAAGCCACGCCCACAGAACCGGTAGTAAAAAAATGCAGATTTCACCACTGATATGGGGCATTGGATCAGGGGTGGGTTCTACTTACCTTTATCACCGGTTCGCAACGGGATCACGCGCTCGTGCTTGCTTCGCTCGGGCATGCACCTTGCTTCTGCGCATGCGCAGATCGCTTCTCATGATGTCAGGGTCAGTGGACGGAGACTTCTGACAGTTTTACTACCGGTTCTATAGAACCGGTCTGAACCAGGGGCAGTCCACCACTGCACTGGATGCCAAAACAACTAGACACAGGAACAGTTATTTCCCTCATGCCCTCACTCACCTGAACACCTAATCTTCACAGCACTATCTTATTTCTAAGTATATTCACCCATGTTGTATGGCCGTAGTACAGGGGTGTCAAACTGGATCTCTTTGAGGGCCGATTCAGCATTGTAGTTCTCCGCAGGCCGGGAGGGGGAGGGAGACAGGACTGATGCCTCCTGCAGCACAAGGGCACCCCTGCACCCCATTTTGGCTGCCAGAAGAACCGCTGGCCAATCCTTTGCTATTTCCAGGCTTGCCCCGTGGGCCAGATTTAAGCACCCCGCCTTGAGTTTGACACCCCTGCCGTAGTATCTCATCTTCTTTACTACCCTCTCTTATTGGTATATTATTATGATTATTACTACTCTGTTGCTTTGCATGGGCATGAGAACTTTTCTACCAGAAACGAATTCCTTGTGCGTTTAATCATACTTGGCCAATAAACCTATTCTGTTGTTCTGTTCTGTTCTGTTCTGTTCTTTAAAGAATTTTATTTTGACTACAAGTCCTCAGCTATCTCTATTCCCCCCTTCTGTTCCCACAGCTCCAACCAGCACTGTTGTGGCAGCCCCGAAGATGCTCCAAAATGGCTTCAAGGTTGACAACATGAACAAAGTTTTGGGAGGAGTGGAAATCCTCAGGTCCGCTCTTAGTCGGGGTTGGGTTCTTTTCAAACCAGGGTCTTCTTTCCTAAAGGTAAATATAGTGTACAGCACTCTTTCCTGCCACATTTTTTGGTCTTTGTTTTATAGACAGTGTGATGTTGGTCTGGATCAGGGGTCGGCAACCCGCGGCTCTGGAGCCGCATGTGGCTCTTTCATCCCTCTGCTGCTTCTCTTTGTCGCCAGTTGGCGCCACAATTTTGAGAGGAGCTTCTGATTAGGGTGGGGGGGGAAGCACGGTATGCCAGGAGGAGACTCTATGGCAAGGGGCCGGTTTTCTGGTCGGCTCCACTGATAGGGCTTTCAGTTAGGACAGGTAGAGGAAAAAAGATGCCGTGCTAGGAGGAGACTCTATGGTGGGAGAACTGGACTTCTGGTTGGCAGGGGAAAAAGAACGCCGCACTAAGAGGAGACTCTATGGTGAGGGAACAGGACTTCCGGTCGGCTCCAGAATTGAACGGGGGACTTCTGGTTAAGACCTTTGTGGCTCTTTGAGTGTTTAAGGTTGCTGATCCCTGGTCTGGATCATCTCCAGTGGCTTTCCATTTATTTGGGGGGGGAGGGGTGAGAGAGTGGTTCTTCCCAATGAAATGCAAATTTCAGGTCAAGGTGCTGAAATAATGGTCTTTTCTCAGAGCAATCTACTTATAATTTGAGATTCTTATCAGAGGCCTTTATTCTGTTTCCCATCATGAGCAGAAACTGAATTGCACTACCAACAAGTCGTTTCTCAAAGGGCATTCATTCTGCAATATGTGTTCAAACATTAGACTTCCTTTCCAGTGGTGAAATCCAAATTTTTTTACTACCGGTTCTGTGGGCGTGGCTTGGTGGGCGTGGTGTGGCTTGGTGGGCGTGGCAGGGGAAGGATACTGCAAAATCCCCATTCCCTCCCCACTGCTGGGGGAAGGATACTGCAAAATCCCCATTCCCTCCCCACTCCAGGGAAAAAGTACTACAAAATCCCCATTCCCTCCCCACTCATGGGGAAAGGATATTCCAAAATCTCCATTCCCACCCTATTCTGGGGCCAGCCAGAGATGGTATTTGCCAGTTCTCCGAACTACTCAAAATTTCCGCTACCAGTTCTCCAGAACCTGCTGGATTTCACCCCTGTTCCTTTCCCTTTTTAAGGCTTCCCTTTGTGCTTTGGAGAACAGGCGACTGTTTACCAAAGATAATTGATGTTTCAAACTGAACTTCCACGCTGGGCAATGTTGTTGTTTTGGTTCAAACGGAAAAACAGGGCTTCAGGGATTCCAAGGGGAGGTGATGCCCTTCTGCTGGGTTAGAAAGGCTAAAAACGTTGGAGGTGGTAGAACTTCAGCTTCATGCAGCCGGGCTGGCTGGAGAATTCTGGAAGTTGAAATCCACACATCTTAAAGTTGACATGGCTGAGAAACACCAACCTGGATCATTGTAAAGGAACCAATATTTCCAGTGGATTGAGGAAAATACATAGGATGCTCCCAGATTCTCTGGAATTCCACGGAGGAAGAGGAAGCTCAGGGGAATCCAGGACTGATCCAAGGAGATTAAAATGCACCACACTCAATCGACAAAGGCCAATGAATGTAAACCCCAGAGAGTTGGAGGCTTTTCATCTCTTGCGAAAGAATTTTGATCTCCAGGCAGCCAGGAATTGTGCAAACCATATGGTACCCATTAGAGAAGCTTTGAAAAGCTCTATTGCAAATACTGTGCAGATTGCAGGGAACGTATTAGAATTACAGCGTTAGTCACCATATGTTTTATTGGTCAGGAAGTGGGCTGAGAGACCTGGCAACAATCAGCTAATTAAAATATGCCGGCAAAAGCCCGCACTTTTTCTGGCACTCCGGGTTAGAAATATGCAGAGTGAAATGGAGAACTGCTGTTTGTGGCATGCACATCTGTTACATCATTTTGCCTGTTATTTAGATTCTGATTGGCATTAAGTGCAGATGTACAATGACATGGCCAAACTCTTTTAATTCCAGAAAAGAGTTTTAAACTGCCTCGGGAATATCGTTTGCTGAATCCGGGACTTGTTTCTCATTGAAATAATAAAACATCTATCATCATCATCATCATCATTTTAGCTATTGTCTATCCACTGCAGGATGCAGTCTCTTCCGCATATTTCCAACCAATACAGTCCTGAGATTTATTTTTTTGCCAATTGGGCCCACGATACTGGATGACGTCGTCAACCTCTTTTTTTAGGTGTCCTTCGCGGATACTTTTGATCAAGCAGGATCCATTCTATGACTGCCTTGGTCCACCTGCCCTCAGTTCTTCTTGCTATGCAACCAGCCCATTTTCATTTCCATTCTTTTACTCTCTTAATACTGTATAGAGCAGGAGTGTCAAACTTGAGGCCCACGAGCCAGATCTGGCCCACAGGGCCACCCTGGAAACAGTGAAGGACTGGCCTGCAGTGCATCTGCCAGTGAAAAGAGATTGGGATGGGCAGGCACAGCCCGTTTTTCACAGGCAGAGTGCTAGCAAATCAAACTACTAGCAAAAGTGGATCCTCCCAGCCCCACCCGGGCCACCACAAATGCCCCCCATACGAGTGACATCAAGCTGGCCACACCCACCTGGCCATGCCCATCCGGCCCCCAAGATCAAACACAACCCTGATGCAGCCCTCAATAAAATCGAATGTGACATCCCTGGTATAGAGTCAGAGCAGGGATGTCAAACTCACGTCATCACAGCGGCGTCACGTGATGTATTGGGACTTCCCCCCCCTTTGCTAAACCTGGCAGGGGCGTGGCCAGCTTGTGATACCTTTGGCCCATGGGTCGTGAGTTTGACAGCCCCGAGTTAGAGTAACCTTACTGATGGGAGAAATTTCTATAAATGGGTGTTTCTTTATTCACTGGCTTATAAAAAAAAGTTTAGTGAGAATTATACCTTGTTGAAATTAGAAGAGATTTTGGATAAAGGTGATGCAATTGATTTCTGCACTATCAATCCAGCTTTTAAAATATTTATTTACTGTTTGAAATAAAGCTCATTCATATGATTAAAATAAATTCTAGATAAACAAAATAGTAGCAGTCCCTCTCAGCTGAAGATGCCACTCTTAATAAACATAAAAAAAAAATGTTTCTATGTTTATAATGACTAGTTTCTGTTTCAGTTTCCTGTTCTGCATCTGAATCTGTAGACTGGCCAACTTTCTGCCTTGACTTAGCAGAAGACGTCATTAGACACATGTTTTTGAATCAGCAGGACTGTTACCGGAATTGGTTGCAAAATTCTTTGGGAAGGGAGGGGGCCTGGAGGTGTTCTTTCCTTCTCCAGGATGACCTCAGCCTTCTGGAAAGGTCGTCTTCTGGAGGTGACAATGGATGTGTCAACTATCCCACCGCATTAAACAGTAAAAGAAACTCCTGGGACATTTTTTTCTCCAAGAGTATAACTTTATTGAAAAGCCATATGGATATAGAAGGAGAAAAGCCAGTTCTGACAGTTTTGCGCAATTCCTCAGGATGGAGAGAGATTCAGAAGGGTTTCAAGCTTTCCTTCTGAAAGGGTTAGATCTGGAGATCCTGGGGGCAAGGAGCCTCATAGCCTCCCTAACAGCCTGACTCTTTTCCGTTGCAGCAGGAGCAAAATGTGGAACAGGACCTCAGTCCCATCACTGCTCTCTTTTGGGTATAAACAGACTGGGCAAATGACAGTCTTGGTACCCTCGAACAAGGATCTCTACAGACGTGACCTCCTGGTAAGTAAGAGGCAGGTGGTGCTCAGAGGCCTTTTTTGGCAGTCTCCAAAGTTCAGAGAACCTGATTTTTATTTTGAAGAAAAGGGCATCGAAGTCCCACGGAATCTTGAAGGAAAATTTCTTTAAAAAAAGAAGTCAGTCCTGCTATGGTATAAAAAAAAAAAAGGCCTTCAAATGTGTAATGGAACAATTACTACAGAGAAATAAGATACAATCCGGGGTTCACTTTCAAGTTAATTACATTTCACCACAAGGGTTAGGGTTAAACTATTTAATAGGCAGTCCGTTCAGGAAGAGTTCTGACTTACATACAAATCCAAGGGAAAGACAAGAGTTAGGAATCGTAGTCATTCTTAATCCGGGGACTGTTGGCTTGTTTGAAGATGAGACATTATTTTTTTGCAAATTCCAGTAATGCAGCTAAGCACATTAAGATTGAATTGGAAGAATTTGCATACGTATCAGTGTTATGAGTAATTTTGGTAAAAGTCACAACTCACGGAGTTTCATATCTTTCTCTAAATATTAGGTGAGATAGTATTTTAAATACACCCACAGAGGTAGAATGGGAGTTTTTTTGGCTCCTAGCCTTGGCCGTGCCTGCCTTTCCGCCAGGCTTCCGCCTCTGGGAATTCTTCTCTAGCTTTTCTCCTCGGCAGGCGCAGCCAAGGATAGGAGCCAAAAAGTCCTAAACTCCACAGAAACCCTTCTAATATTTATTAAAAACCCTTCTAATAAATATTAAAAATATTTAAGAGTTCTGTGTTGAATTGTGGCAGTTAAATTGATGGCATTTTAAAAAAATAAATGTTTTATTTCAAACTCTTCTTAGAAGTGCCAAATAAAAGATGGCAAAGAAAAGATGATTTTATTTATTCCAAAATTGAACAGTTAAGAATGAATAGGAATTAGAATTTTTTATTGGCCAAGTGTGATTGGACACACACGGAATTTGTTTTGGTGCACACGCTCTCAATCTACATAAAATTAAAGATACAAATTAATAGGAAGAGCATATATACAGGAGACCTCAGAAACAAGGAAGATGGGGAGTTCCATTTTGTCAATTATAGGTAGTCCTCCGCTTACGACCACGGTTGAGCCCAAGCTTTATGTGGCTAAGTGAAACATTTGTTAAGTGAATTTTGCCCCCGTTTACAACTTTCCTTGCCACATTTGTTAAGTGAATCACTGCAGTTGTTAAACTAGTAACCTGGTTCTCAATTGAATCTGGTTTCCCCATTGTCGTTGCTTGTCAGATCACAAAAGGGGATCACGTGACTCTGGGATACGGCAACCATCATAAATGTCTCAGGTTTTTTTCTTGCCTGCCTTGCTATAGGAGAAATGATGTCTCAATTTAAAAACCTAGGGCACACCATCATCTAACATTAATTTGGCATGTGAAAAAAGGTTTAATGGAGCTTCCATATAAAGAGGCAGTCTACAATCAAAGACCATGCAAAAGATGAGAAATAGGCAGCTTTGTTGAGTAATTAGTAGGTTCCCAGAGACCTTGGGCTGGCATTGGTGTGTGTAGAAAATACAGTATTTGCACTGTTCTACTCTTCTGACCTTAAAATACTCTGATGTTTTTGCTTTTAGATTCATGGAACATCAGTCATTTGAAGAAAGGATGTCTCTGCTACTGATCTCCACCTTTGATGTTCGAAGATGGCACCGAGGCTACACGTGTTGTGGAGCAGCTGCAAACCGTGGTCAGTTTTATTATGCTGCAGCAGGTTGGTGGAGTGGAGGGTTGGATTAAGAGATGCTTCTGCAAATCTGGGTTTTTCTCGTCCATGTTAGATTCCAAGGCCCAACTAGTCTGGATTCTCCAACCCTGGTGCATGGAAATCCAGAATCCCAGGGCTTTGTGGCAGGGATTGCAGCAAGGGGCATTTGCTTCTCCAGAGGCTTTGGTGGCTAAGTCGACAAAGACACAACAAGCAATGACATTTTTGCTAAGGCTGTGATTGTGGCTTAGGCAGATCATGGGATAAAGGTTGGGTAGTGGGTGTGAAGGAAGCAATGAACATTCTAGTTCCCCATAGATGAAACACTAGTAGAGGCTCCATCACTTTTAAAGCCAGGTTGGTCCTTGGGATTAGATTTGCTGCTTCTTCCACTTCTATTTTGGGGTAGCATTTTTTTATTTTTTGTCCCAGATAGGCTCACATTTTCCCTTGCTTTCTCTTTAGTTTAGAGAAGCTGCCCTTTTGCTCAGGTCTTAGAGGATGCATGATGCTAAGTTTTCTTCTGCTCTTCCTTGAATTTTTTTGGCAAGAGCCTCTTCAATGAAAGAGATTTTTCTTTCCATTTAGGTGATTTAGAGCCCACGGGGTCTGAACAGAAGACATGGCTGCCTTGAGGATTGGGCCCTTATGTCACACTGATCCTGGATCTCTTTGATAAAAGTGGGGATCCAGGATTGGGACACTTCCTTTTAAGGCTCTTCTTGGGAGTCTTCTGATGCAGAGGCTCAATGGAAGAAAAAAGCGGTTCAGTGTCAGCAAACTCAGTCAAGAACTCCTTTAGCATATGGAATTCATCTTGGAAATCTGCCAATAGTGGTCCTTCATCTCCTGGCTGGGAAGGAGGTGACTCATGGTCCTTCTCCTGCTCAATATGAACGCCCGTCACTGAAAGAAAGCAAAAATAGAACCTATGATGGGAGGATAGCAATCAGTTTGCTGAGGCAAAAGGTGAGTCACTTTTAGGCTCCTGTACTTCTCCCACCTCCATTTGCCTCTGCTCTGCTATAAGAAAAGGAAGAAGGACTATCTTCAGCCTCTGCAGACCATTCTCCGAGGAGCAGCTACATTCCTGGTTCACATCATTAGAACAGACAATTTACAATGTACAAGCTTGTGAATTTTCTGCAAAATTGGTTCAACTGATGAACACAAGGCCAGGCAGGAATGAAGCAGAAATGACTTTGGAGAACATCTGAGTGACACCAGAATGGAAAGGTGCTTCTTCCACCAACCCCTTGCAAATGTTGAGAGATGTGGTGAGGAAGCTGAGCTGCCTTGAAGTTTTAACTGTCTCATCAGCTCTGGAGCAATGCAATAGCTGTGAAACAGGACAGCGTGGTTCCCATTCCTCATTTCCTGGACATCACTTGTTGGGTGCCAGTGAACTTTGGTCCACAGCAGATCAGATATACCCAGTCAGGCTGGACTCACCTGCCAGGCTGAAAATGGGTGAATGGTTCTCCAGTTTCTTTTCTTGAAATATCAGGAACTACTCTGGAAGGCAGCCTCTTAATCCCTTTCTTTCTGTGTTCGGGTGTAAGATTTTTAAGATTTAAGATGGTTAAGATGTTAAGACCTTTGCTTCAGGATAAGTTTTAACCTTTAGGTGGTGGTGTAACTAAGTTTGTTGGCTACTTTTTCTGACAAGTGTCTGGATTGATAACCATTACTGATGGAGAATAAATCTCCACCATTCTTTATTCCTTAAAGTACACTGCAAAATTTCACACATATCGGAAAAGCATGATGAGCATTAGGGGTTAAGGGTTAGGGTTGGGTGTGGGTTAGGGTATGGGTTAGGATTAAATGTTAGGGTTAGGGATTTTATTTGATTAAATTCAATTTAGTTGTGGGGTTTGCTTTCCTTATTTCATGTACTGATGCCATATCCTCTCTCCCCCTAGTTACCTTCATTAATGAAACTATCCTTATTTTCAGCCAGCTGAATTTCAACCAGAAATGGTGGAAATGCCTACTGGACTTCAGTGAACTGGAAGCGATAGAAAGAAGTCCATCGTACTGTTGCCAAAGTGTCTTACACAGTCATTCCCCTTCTTCTCTTGGCCTATTGAGGACAACCACATGAACCCAATGATCTCCAGAAGGCGAGACTCAATGCGTGAGGTCCATGGCTGGGGGAACCTTGCTGTGAGATCAAAGGAGAAAAGAGACATCAGTGCCCATTTTAGTGAGAAGCCCTCGGGTTCATGTTTCCCAAGAGAATAGCAGGCAAAAGAAAGAAAAGGCTGACCTGATGTCATAGACTGAAAGTAATGCATCTAGTCCTGCCGTGAAGCTGCTTCAATGGTTTTCCTCCATCAGAGCCTGGCAGGAAACAAGAGTGGAGAGAAGCAGAGAAGGGAAAGTCAGCCAGATTGCTCCAGCCCACCCCTTTCTTTTTTCCCACCTCCTTTTGACCTGTTCTTCTGCTACAGGTTCTCTATCAGTACAAGGGAAACTTAACCCCAGTTTAAGGAACCTTTGCAGGGCCAGGTGATGACAGTTGCATTCTGTTTCTTTGATGGACTGGTTGAACTTCCACTGAACCTTCTGGAAATGCAGGGGCAGCTTTTCTCCCTCCCTCGACTGCTCCTGTCTCTCCATCCTGCTTTCCTTGCCTCCAATTGCCACCTGCCTCCCTTTTACTTACCAAGACAAAAGGGCTTGTTTCTTGGCTCTGGGGTTGTCATTTGCCCGCTCTGCTTCAGCTGAAACAGAGTGGCGATAGAATACAGGCCCTGAACCATGCGCTCCTGTTGCAATCGAAATAGCCAGGTTGTAAATTGTGGAGACTCTGGGGTGTCTTGCCCCCATGATCCCCCATGTTCTCCCTTTCAGAAGGGAAATGTGAAACTCTTCTGAGTCTCCCTCCATCCCGAGGAAACTTTTACACGACACTGAGACTAGGATTCACACCTGGGGGAAAAGCCCAGCCATGGGAATCCCTAATTCCAAAGGGTACCTATTGGTTTGGCTGTCTTCCTGGTCCTCTCATGGATCTCTTGCCACAAACATTAGTTTGTCTTGTTTTTTGATGTCCCTTTTCATAAAGAGAATCTTCTTCTTCCTGGTGCTGACCCTTGTTGAGAAATCTGAAAAAGGAGAGGCAGGTGCTGGGATCCTCCACAAAGTTTTAGGTCTCCCCCAGATGAAAACCTTCCAAAATCAGGACCACCTTTGCAGCATTCTTCCCCTTGAGACCCAATTCCATCAATTAAAAAGCTTTTTCTGGTTCACAGAGCTGGTGGAGTCTCCTGATCTTCTCACTGAGGCCTTAGGCAAATCCTGCTTTCTGTATTCTTCCTCCCCACTTCCCCATATATATAAATAAGTGAACCATCTTAAAGATGCCCTGAAGAGTTAAATGGAAGCAGGAGAACTTGTGGGGAATCAGTATAGACAGAAGAGCTGCAGGAGGAGGGGTGCTTGGTGGGTCAGCAGCTTGGCCTCTGACCCTTCCCTCTATGTGACCTTGAATGTTTCACTCTCAATGCCCCAGCCCAATTCTAAGCATCTACTCACCACATTGCTCCACATTTTGGAGTTCCATGTCAATAATACATTTGACTGTTCCTCCCAGGAGTCTTGGTGCTGTCCTCCAGTCAGCAGGTTGCAGAACTTAAAAGCACCAGCTCCTGGATTGCTCACCTTCCTTCATTTCTTTTGAAAACATGAAAAACACAAGAAGAGAAAAAGGGAATGGAAAGTAAAGGAAAGGATTGTATTTTCTAGAATCATTTTGATTCAATTAAACACATGTTCAGTCATATAAACACCCTGTGATTAAAGAAACCAGAGTGGACAACTAGTACTCCTGGCTTGGACTCATCATTTTTTATCTTGGTTTGGTTTTACATTACTGGACATGTTCCACAGGCACCTGGGTTGATCAAATTTCAAAATCTTTTGCTCATTCAGAGGTTAAGGATGGTAAGTGATCCCTAACAATTGGAAAGTAATCAATCTACTCTTATAGCACCAATCGGGTATGAAAGGTAAAACTGCTTTGGAACACATTTGCCTCCTATTTACCTTTCCTAAGGGGACCACAAATGGCTGTTCTTACCCCTGGAATCTCCCAATCCTCTGAGAAGTTGTCTTAATGGGGAAGATCCCCCTGAGGCTAGAAGCCCTTCTGAAGACTACTTACATCTTGGAAGCCATCTTCACTCAGATCACTGAGAGCTGACAGAAACTGATAGTTGAGCTGGATGGATGACATCATAAAGCCAGAAGAGTCCTCAAGGATATGATAGGCCTCCTTTGGGATCCTATCCAAGATCATCTTCTCCACCTTTTCTACACACACCAATGCCAGAAGAAGGTCTCTAGGAACCTACAACAAATCACCAAAGCTGACTATTTCTCATCTTTTGGCACAGAAGACATAGCTCTTTGGTTGTAGACTGCCTCTTTATATGGAAGCTCCACTCAGCTAGCTGACTGAGCAAGAGTCACTGATACAGCTCTTGGTCAGCATCCAGTCCAATTCCCTTTGTATTGCCAAGCTGTGTGCTTTTTATTTCCCCCAATATATATGGCCAGCAGTGTGCAGCCGCCGCCAAAAATGCCAACTCAATTCTAGGTTGCCTTAACAGAGGGACAGAATCAAGATCATATGAAGTATTAGTACCAATTTATAAAGCCTTAATAAGGCCACACTTAGAATACTGCATCCAGTTTTGCTCACCATATTATAGAAAAGACGTAGAAACTCTGAAAAGAGTGCAGAAAAGAGCAATAAAGGTGACTAGGGGACTGGCGACTAAAACGTATGAAGAACAGTTTCAGGAATTGGGTTTGTCTATTTTAGTAAAGAGAAGGACTAGGTGCAATATGATACCCATGTTCCAATATTTGAGGGGCTGCCAAAAAGAAGAGGGAATCAACCTATTTTCCAAAGTATCAGAAGACAAGACAAGAAACAATGGATGGAAACTAATCAAGGAGAGAAGCAACATACAACTAAGGAGAAATTTCCTAAAAGTGGGTGCTCCATCATTGAAGGTTTTTAAGAAGAGATTGAACAGGTATATGGTCTCTTGCTTGGGTGGGGGTGTTGGGACTGGAGGACCTCAAGGGTCTCTTCCAAATCTATTATTCTGTTTTGTTATTCTGTTATTCTTCTATGATCCCATCAAGCCAAAAGAAGTCAGGAATGGTATAGGATCTCCTGCCATGGGCAGGGGTTTGGATTAGAAGACCTCCAAGGTCCCTTCCAACCTTATTATTCTATATTTTATGTTCTATGATATGATATGAGTCTGATTTGGACAGTACATTTTTAAACATAGTGTTTTAGTAATACTGAATTTTCAGGTGAACTGTTTATTGAGGATTAAAGGAGCAATTCCTATTTCTATTAAGAGCTGTGGTGGCGCAGTGGTTAGAATGCAATATTGCAGGCTAATTCTGCTGACTACCAGCAGTTCAATTCTCACCGGTTCAAAGTTGACAGTCTTCCATCCCTCTGAGGTCAGTAAAATGAGGAGCCAGATTTTAGGGGCAATATCCTGATTCTGTAAACCCCTTAGAGAGGGCCGTAAAGCACTGTGAAGTGATATATAAGTCTAAGTGCCAGTACTATTACTATTCCAAGAATATACAAGCAACTATGACAGACTAGCAAGTAAGAAAAACAAAAATAGGAAAGTGGACAGCATTATTACTTAAAGTCCATATCCTTTTATAATTATTAGCATCATTAAAAGGTACTTGGAGGTTCTCCATCATTAATCAAACATGCTGTACTCATCTGACCTATATTTTTAGGTTTGTTTGTTCATATCCCACCTTTATCACTTTTACAAATAACTCAAGAAAGCAAACAAAGCCAACATACCTTCTTCCTTCTTTTTTCCCAACAACAACAACCCTGTCAGGTGGGTTGAGCTGAGAGTGATTGGCCAAAAGTCACCCAGCCGGCTTTCTTGGCTAAGGTAGGTCTCTCACTTTCGTTTTCTGGTGCCTTCACCATGAGACCAAAGTTGGATTTGTATAACACATGATGTCATGAGACATACATGTTTGGCTTCCTGTAAGAAAAAGAAAACACATGAAGAGCAACTTACTATTGCAGATAACTTATTATTGCACAATTCACACAAAAGGCATAAATTATGATTCAGAAACTACAATCTGCTATTTGGATTAGCCAGTTGCATCTGAACAACCGGAAGAAATCCAGGGAGTAAAGTAGCCCATGAGGCGCCAAGGAAGGTGAAGGGCTTGCAAGGAGGACTTTAAGTCCTCTCCTCATTTCCTAGGCCCACCACATCTGGACTGCAAAAATCCAGGTGACCATTAGAGGCCAGTCAGGAAAGAGTCCTTATCTCTCTTAGATACAGCAGGCTGCCAAGGGAGAAGAAGCCTTCAGGATGACCGTTCTCAGGCCAAAGGAAGAAGCCCTCATGTCTGCTGGCCCTTTTCCCCTCATATTTTTCAAGGGAGGTAAAAGAAGCAGCATCAGACAGGACAGGAAAGAGGCTTTTCTGCCCCGTTTGCTTCTAATGGGTCCTGCAGGCCCAGGCAAGAACTGGACACTTTATAATAAAAAAATGAGACTCTGAGTCAATCTGTCTATAGGTGATTCTGAAAAGAGTGTGAACATTTTTGTCACCAGAGTGCTGAACCACCTCTCTGGGCCCTTCTCTGGCCTGCTGAGCCCTTTGCTCTCCTCCTGGCCCAGCTTTTGGGCTGAGCCATTTTCCTTTAACTAATATGTAGCCAACTGAAGAGGCTAACAAGAGATACAAGGCTTAAAAGGGGCCTCTTTGAAATGGTTGAGGAATTGAGGCCTAGAGGGAAGAGTCCAGGACCACAGCAGCAAAGAAGAAAACGCCTCATACAAGGGCAAGATTAAACAAATGAGGTAAAGCAGTGGTCCCCAACCTTTTTATCGCCGCGGCCCGCTGAGCGCGCGCAGGGGTGGGGGCACGGCCCAGGAGCTTTTGCGCACGGCCCATTGCGCACGGCCCAGGAGCCTTTGCGCTGCAGCATTCATGTCCCCCGGCCGCTACGCGGCCCGGTGCCAGGTACTCCACGGCCCGGCACCGGTCCGCGGACCGGGGGTTGGGGACCACTGAGGTAAAGGACCTTCAAGGAGAGTTAAAGGAGGAAGGGGATGAATCATCTCCTTGGATTCACAAGGGCTCAGCAGGGACAGCCAAAGAAGGGAATCAGCTGAGGAAAGGCTTGACTCCTCCAGCTTCAGAGCTTGCCCAGATCTCTAGCCGAGGGGCTGATGCTCTCAGGGGAAATGAGTTCTTACTGGCAAAAGATCAGAAAGCCGTAACTGATATTCGATTGGATCTGGCCAAGATGCAGAATCAGGGCAAAAGAAATAAGTGCAGAATCAGAGAAAACCCAGAAAAGGCTACTTTAACGGGTATTTCATCTCAAGACTGAACAATTTGCAGAGTTAAAGCTTTCAGATTAAGGGTGTCCATAGAATCTTCTCTCCTAACACGTTTGACAAACTAATAAATACAAATGCAAAAGCCAAAAACATACTGAAAAGTTTGTGAGCAGACAGATGAAAGAACCTGCTGGACGAAGAGAAAAATTGGGGTGGGTATAAAATCCATGATAGTATTAGAGGCAGGTTGCTCTAGTGGTTAAGGCTGGAAACCAGGAAGCGCTGAATTCAAGTGCTACCTGAGGCAAGAAAGCCACTGGGAGACTTTGAGCCAGTCACTCTCTGTCAGCCAGACCCACATCACAGGGTTGTTGTTATGGGGAATGTTATGTATTGAATATATATAGTTGTGTTAAGCCCTGCTTAAGAGAAGCTAACCTTTAGAGGACCCTAACTGTTAGCTTTTTCAAGTATTATGGCCCTAGAGCCATGATGGCGAACCTATGGCACGGGTGCCACAGGTGGCACGTGGAGCCCTATCAGTGGGCACGCGAGCTCAGCTCCGGCACCCATGCGTGCGCCAGCCAGCTGATTTTTGGGCCTTCTGGGCCCACCAGAAGTCAGGAAACACACTGTTTCCGGCTTCTGGAGGGCCTCTGGAGGGGTGGGGAAGGCCGTTTTTGCCCTCCCCAGACTCCTAGAAAGGCTCTGGAGCCTGGGGAGAGCAAAACACGGGCCTACCGGGCCCACTGTGCCATCATGTGCCAAAAATGGGGGGAGCACGGGGGGAGGGGCGCATAGAATTATGGATGTGGGCACACGTGTGTGACCCCACCGCGCTCCCCCCGCTTTTGGCACGCGATGGCAAAAAGGTTAGCCATCACTGCCCTAGAGTATAAATTACAGGGATTTGCCTGTTTTTCTTTAGTTCCAGTTTTGAGTCAATAAATGCTGTTGCATCTATGCTGGTCTGTTCTTGCCTGCTGCAGCCCACTACCCAATAGGGAAAATAAGAGGAAGGAGGATTAGGTATGTTCATCCCCCTTGAATTATTTATAAAAATAATAATCCTGTTTAAAAAATTTTTTTAAAAAAAAAACCTTTGTAAATTCTTTTTCAACATGACACATCAAGTATCTAATAGCTGAGATTTTAAATATAGCCAGAGAAAGGGAATCTTTTGGACATCTAGGACTTAATACTATTAAAAAATTTATCTGACTATTTAATAATAATTTCACCTCATGTGAAATGGGGAGAGAATAGAATAGCAGAGTTGGAAGGGACCTTGGAGGTCTTCTAGTCCAACCCCCTGCTCAGGCAGGAAACCCTACACCACTTCAGACAAATGGTTATCCAACCTCTTCTTCAAAACTTCCAGTGTTGGAGCAATTACAACTTCTGGAGGCAAGTTGTTCCACTGATTCATTGTTCTGTCAGGAAATTTCTCCTTAGTTCTAAGTTGCTTCTCTCCTTGATTAGTTTCCACTCATTGCTTCTTGTCCTGCCCTCAGAATTCCTACCCTCAGAGACTCAGCAGTATTTCAAGTTTCCCCTTCTGAAAGGGAGAACATGGGGGACCCAGGGGGAAAAAGTCAGACACCCCACTCTCCCCAATCTACAGCCTGACTGTTTTCCATTGCCGCAGAGCAGGCAAATGGCAGCCCAAAGCCAAGAAACAAGGACTTCTACAGCCACTCTGCCATGCTAAGTAAGAGGGAGGCAGGAGGCAACTAAAGCAGGACGGAGATACAGGAGCAGTAGAGGGAGGTGAGGGCTGTTCACTAAGATGGTCACTCATGTCTCTTCTCTCCTTTGATCTCACAGCAAGCTTCCACCCACCATGGACCCACATGTTGAATCTTGCCTCCTGGAGAACTTTAGGTTCATTTGCTTGTCCTCCATAGAAATAGGAGACAAGAATGTTTCAGAGGTAACAACAACCCAGCAAACTTTCTGGAACTTTGCTTAATGCATTGTAAGCCACCCTGAGTCTCCGGAGAAGGGCGGCATATAAATCAAACTTAAAAAACAAACAAACTTACTTTTTGGATTTGGCACGGCTCGGAAAACGTTCTGCACAGCATCATCTCTGTCTTTCGTTTCAGGTAGAGAAGAAGTTGCTGGAGGAGGTCTTTGTGCTCATGTTCCAAGGCCTTCTTAAGCAGTCGGCAACAACACAGCATATGATTTTTATTTTGAAGGTAAGGGATCGAAGTCCCAGGGGAGTTTGGAGGAAAATGGGGCCAGTGCAAACATTCACGGAATCAGACGTTAGAACTCCAGTGAAATGTTCCAATATATGTGAATAATCTTGAGTGGGGGATTGTTCTTGAGGATAGGCACCAAGTATCATGGGAATTTGGCACGTCACAAGAGTTGTTTCCCTTCTTCATAAAGAGGCCTCTTTTAACTGTAGTGCACCATGGCCAGAATTGCATATAAGAGACCAAAAGTGTTTATAGGGCCCTTTCCTTGAAATGCCATCCCAAAGCATCCTCCTTCCAAAGAGCCTGGGATTTAAGAAGCTGGGAGTAACCATAGAGGGAGAGGACAGCTCTGGAGGCCTAAAGAAGGTACCTTAAATTGCACATGTGTATTTTGACAATGAGATTGCTGAGAATAGGAAGTTCCAATCAAAGGTATCTCCCCCACCCCCCCTCAATTCCACATCAATTTGAAGAACATGGCTGGCAATCCTTCTCATCCGCCTGGAGTCAGATTCTCTACTGTGAGATCCATCAAATAGGATTCACGTATGTAGCAAACTGAAAATAAGATTGAAAACTTTGAGTTCTCTGCTGTACTTGGTACTCCATCCTGATATAATGTCTTTGGGAGAAAAGGGCAGGGAAACAGGGTTTCTTTTTCCTTTCTGTACATTTGATGGACTAGGGAGTCCCTGGATGGGATATCTTGTTGCTAATACTTGTGTCGATCAGACAAAACAGGGAATAACTCTGCAAGACACTTTGGCAACAGTATGATGGACTTCTTTCTGTCTCTTCCAGATCGCTGAAGACTAGCAGGTGTTTCCACCATTTCCTGTTGAAATTCGGCTAACTAAAAATAGGATGGTTTCATTAATGAAGGTAACTTTAGTTTGGAGCATTAAGGTGGGGGAGGTATTGGCAAATGAAAGGAAGGAAAGGAAAGGGTGCATATAACCCCCCTTCTAGAACATTGTCCCTCCCAAGACCAGGGTTGCCCAGTATTCTGTTTTTAATTGGTATTAGGGTTGTTTGCCACCCAGTGGAAGTTGGGTGGAAAGCTGCACAAACTGAATCAATAAATACACTTTGGATACTATTCCTTCTCTTGTTTCTCTAAAGAACCTGTGCTCTTTACTATATTTCATTTTTTTAATCTGTATTTTTTGGTTATCTGATTTTTCCAGTCATAAATTAAGTTACAATAAAAGTGCCTGACTCGCAGAAAAGTCATTAAACTGTATAATATTTTTCTTGGGTGCAATCTGTCATACATTTTTTTTTGTTGTTTCTTGTCTGCATTGCTGTATGAGAAATGATGTCTGAATTTAAAAACCAGGAGAGAGAATTTCTCTCCTCTCTCTCTCTCTCTCTCTCTGTCAGTAAACACAGGTTTGTCTAACAATATTTGGCATGACGAAATAGGCGTCTGCACGTAAGCAGAAATAGCACAGGGAGCTGACCCTGGCCAGAGGGATGTTGCAACAAAAACAAGAACCAAAAACAAGAATGGCAACCAAAGTCTACCACCAAACAGCCATGCCTTCAGTGCCAGAAGATGAGAAATAGGCAGCTTTGATGAGTAGTTACTAGGTTCCCAGAGACCTTTTATTTGGCATTGGTGTGTGTAGAAAAGGTGGAGAAGGTAAACTTTGATAGTATCTTTAATTCCTTATTGGTGCTAATCTTTAATTCCTTATTGGTTGAGTACTTTCCAATTCATTGGATAACTTAGCAGCCTTAACCTGTGAATTAGGAAAACCTTTTTAAAATTTGATAACCTCACGTGGTTGTGGAACACCTCCAGTCCTGTAAAACCAAATCAAGGTTAAAAATGATGAGCTCAAGCCAAGAATATCATTTTTCCATTCTAATTTCCTGAATCAAAGTAATTATGGAAACTAGGTTTTAGTTGGCCCCTTTCCTTACATTCCTCTCTCTCTCTTCTAGGGCATTCTTCAATATTTTTGCCTGTTTTAGAGGCAAACGAAAGGAGGAGAAGGACCAATCTCCCGTTTCCACACCGGAGGAGACCACCAAGGCTCCTGGGAGAGTCAGATATGTGGTGGATGTGGTGCTCGAAAAAGTGGAGCGATGTGGTGAGTGGACACTTTGGATTGGGCTGCAACCCTGAGAGGGAAAGGGAAGGATTTCCTTGAGGAGCGGACACCTAGATGCAGCGATATGCAGGACACACATCAGCATCTTTGAAGATGCACAAGAGGGACAGGTCGGAGGCCAAGCTGTTCCTGACCCACTAAGCACCCCTTCTCCCGCAGCTCCTGTATCTATATTGACTCCCCACAAGTTCTCCTGCTTCCATTTGGCACTTTAGAGAACCCTTAAGAGGGTTCACTTGCATGTATTCATATACATTGGCAAGTGGGGAGGGAGAATCTATAGAGCAGGATTTGTCTGAGGCCTCAGTGAGAAGATCTCTCATGGCCAGGAGAATCCACCAGCTCTGTGAAGCAGAAAAAGATTTTAATAGGTGGAATTGGGTCTCGAGGGGAAGACTGCTGCAAAGAAGGGCTTGATTTTGGAGGGTTTTCTTCATCTGGGAGAGACCTAAAACTCTACTGAGCACCTGCCTCTCCTTTCCCAGATTTCTCCACAAGGGATGAGAAGAAGATACTCTTCACAAAAAGGAACAAGGTATGTAGAAAACTGAAGATGGTGAATCCCATCCTCATGAAACCTCTCTCTTGGGAGAAAAGGGCAGGGAGGCAGGGTTTCTTGTTCCTTTTGATCCACTTGATGATGGACAAGGGAATCCTGGACAGGATCTCTTACTGCCAATACATATGTCGATACAGGGAGTGACCCTGCAAGACACTTTGGCAACAGTATAATGGAATTCTTTCTGTCTCTTCCAGCACACTGACGTCCAGCAGGGATTTACAGAATTCCCAGTGGAAATTGAGCTGGCTGAAAATGAGGATATTTCATTAATGAAGGTAACTTTATTACTGATAAATTAATCAATGAAAGAACTTATGACTGATCTTCAAAGTTAAGTTAAAATTGCTGCACCACTCCTGAGATCCCATTTTGGGTGCTTGGCAACCAGTCCACACTTACGAGCTTTTGCAGCATCTTATGGTTATGCAATTGCGTTTTGCAATAGTTTTTGTTGCTTTCTGGGGAAAAAAAAATCACAAAACACCACCTTTGGATAATCTGCATTTGGACTCATGACAACATAATTCTCTTAACATAGCCAAGAAATATACTAATAAGATTTGTGAGCAGACAGGTGAAAGAAGCTGCTGGACTAAAAGTGAAAAATTTGGGGGGGAGGATAGGGTACAATATTGCATTAGAGGCAGTTTTCTCTAGTGGTTAAGGCACCTGGCTAAAAACCAGGAGGTTCTGAGTTCAAGAACTGCCTGAGGTAAGAAAGCTGTTGGGTGACTTTGCACCAGTCACTCTCCCTAATCCTCAACCCACCTCACAGGGTTGTTGTTATGGGGAAACAAGAGTAAAGAGGATTAGATTTGTTTGCTTCCTTCAATTATTTATAGAAATAAACACTAAAGAAACTTATTAAGTTCTTTATCAACATGACAGATAAATATCTAATAGCTGGGGTTTTAAATATACCCACAGATATCTGAATTTAATAGTACTAAAAAAAAATCCAACTATTTAATAATAATTTCACCTCACTGTGGAAAAAAAAAAATGAAAATGTAGGATAAAAATATATTTAAATATTCTGGGTCAGATTGCAGCAATTAAAATGATGGTTCTTTCAAAATTGAATGTTTTTATTTCCAACTCTTCCAGTAGAAGTTTCACATGAAATATTAAGGTAAAGGAAAAAAATGATTTTTTGTTGTTGTTGTTTCAAAACTATATACTGAAAACTAGACTTCCGGCGGTGACGTCAGCGTGTCAGGGACCAAGGGGACAGCGCTCTGTTTCCTAAATTCCAATTTTCGATCTGGGAGCCACTTTTTTGGCACTATTGATCACGAAGAGGTCAATAGATTAAAGGGGAAATCCCGGGGACCTCGGAGGTGACAGCAATCGCCCTGAAGGTTTAGGGAAAACCCCTTAATTCCGACCGAAAAAACCCAGCCTTTCTGGGCTGGCTGGAACACTGACTGCCGTCTCAAGAATGGAAGCGAAGATTGAATAAAGACATCACCAAATCAACAAAGAATAAGACTGTGAAAGGTACATACATACAGTGACGGAAGTACAATTAAGAGAGAGACTCCGAACAGATCGGCAAAGCTGAGCCATAAGGAAGCGGCGAAGTGAAAGTAAACGGAGCGAATCAGCGAGATCAACCAGAGGGTGACTAAGCAGAGCTGACAGGCAACGGAATTAAGGTGGACTTAAAGAAATACTGGAGAGTTGTGGATTGAATATCAAATACATCGTTACGAAATTGTCTGGAACTTGAACTTGGAATTGGTAAGGACTAATTGATTTGCGAAGGAATACAAGATCAAGTGTTGGATTATAAACAGAAGTGGAGCTGAGGCGGGAGAGAGACAGAGAACAGATGGTAATTAACTTTGAGAGCGATCGGGAGGAACTTTGAGACTTTGTATCGACGGCAAAGAGATAACATTCTAAAAGACATTGAAGTTTTGGAGTTATAGAAGCAGTATCCTTGGGAGGCACACGGAAGGATTCTGATTCTGATAAGAATCATAAGACGAACGGTTTGAATGATGCAATATTGAGTGTGGATTGCAACGTTTATAATCCCGGAACTAATATAATGCTTGAGACTTAATTCAATCAAACCTTTTCTAACTTATTTTAAATTTTTCTATTTGCAATACTTAACACTTTAATATATAGTAGATTACATAAAAGATTACAGTATATATAACGCATAGTTTTGGAATGTTTTAAGTTGAAGTTTAAAATATAGAATTTAAGCATAACTAAGAGGAAGTGGAATATAAATTAAGAAGTAATTTGATTGAAACATAGATTTTGAATAGGAATAATATTATAACAAATAGTTTACTTGTACCTTCTTCGTATTTATTTGATTGTTTCTGTGCTATAATTTATTACTAGATTAAGTGATTGATATATTATCCTATTATCCTATTTATAATTAATTATATTATTTAAGTGAGGAATTGAGGTTGGTAAGAATTAATAGAGTTAATAGAGATATAATTAAGAATTTAATAGAATTAAATTGAGTTAATAGAATATTTAAATAGAATAATTAACATAGAAATTGACAAATGACCTGCTGAAACGTCGTATTTTTTCCCTACTCCCCGTTAACGACTAAATTAATCCCTTATATAACGATATTAGCCGAATTTGAGAAATTAGATTGGATCTGAAATTTGAATAACAGAAATTGGCTCCTGTAATTAACAGAAGAGAAATTCCATTATAAAATACAGACTGTGAATGAAAATTTGGGAACTGCTAAATCAGAGAATTAAGATGACAACTACCGGCCCATCCGCAGCGACTAAAACCAGTAAAAGAATAGTCACCAGCCAAACATCGTCTATTGCATTACCTGCACAACAGAAAACGATAGATACAATGTTATTGGCAGAAAAAGAGAAAACTCCCCAATCAATTAATATCCAAAATATACACTCAATACTAGCAACGATACAAGAGGGGATGAACAGAACACAGGAATCAATCGCCAATAACCATCAAGCAAGCAATAAAAACCATGAAGAATTGAAGTTGGATGTAACAGAAATAAAGGACAACTTTAAAAAAAATGGACGATAAAATGGAGAAAATTCAGCAAAACATCGCCAAGAACGAACAGCGAATCCAAAACATTAAAGTAAAGATGGAACAAACAGAGAAAAAACTGGAGGATCTAGAATGTGACCAGATAACAACAAATAAAGAACTGGAAGGCTCAATTTCATTCTTAGAGATGGAGAAGGCGTCATTTTATCTAAGATTCCAAAATATCGCGGAAACCAGAGAAGAAGATCTGAGAGATTTAATGGTGGGAATTTTAGCGGTGGCGACCCAAAAGAATAAGGAAGAAATAAATCAGGAAATTGATGAAGTCTATAGGGTATTTACCAATTATGCCCGAAGGAATAAGCTACCTAAAGAGATTCATATTCGGTTTGCAAGAAAATCTGTGAAAGAGGAAATATACAAAATAATGAGAGAGGAACCAATCACCTATAAGGGCAAAGAAATAATTATACTAAAACAAATACCAAGAAGAATAAGAGAAACAAGAAAAAATTACAGTTTTTTGACAACAGAATTAAATAATCACAAAATAATGTTCCGCTGGTTAACACCTGAGGGAATTCTTGTATCATGGCAAGACAAAAAACATAGACTTGACACTCTACAGAAAGCACAAGTTTTTTGACAGCAATTTCGTATCAG